TTTAGGATTCACTCTCTCGAGCTGAACCCACGACAACCCAATAACCACAGACTATCGATTCAGTAGTTTTGGTTTTAAAACCTCTCTCTCGAGCAAGTCAAAAACACGAAGATAAAATTGAATTTGCAACTACAACCCCATTAAATTCAAACACAACTACTGAACTAAATCACCTTTAAACAGCAAATTAACTATCTATTAACAATACCCAGCAGTAAATTCAACCCATATTCACATAATCACACCCCAAGAATTGCGGTTTTAGCTAGACATAGTAAACAGATAGAAATCGATACCGAAAAGTGTTTTCATCAATTGGGTACGATAGATATTGTCTTTACACACGTCTAAGATGAAGATTCTTCAATACCCACTTCCAATTGCATAGAAATGGAAATCTTCAAATCTTCAAATCTTCAAAGCTAAGGAACAAAGTCTCCAAAACTCTAAGTTCTAAAAACTGAAAACAATATTTGATATTCTAAAATTCTATACTGAATGCATACAAAATATGATACTAAGCTAAAAATATAAACAAGTATATATAGTTGTCAAAAAGTGTGTTGCGAAGGACCATTCGGCGCAGTTAGTCGGGATCGCCGATCCACTCGGCGATCCACCCTTTAGTCAGGTTCATCGCTTCCTGAGGAGTAGATGTGAACGTCAACACACCCATCCGCATGAGTCTTCTCCACATTTGCTCTTGTAGGGGAGACCGATAACCTGGGCTCTGATACCAATTTGTCACGACCCAACCCACCGAGCCGTACGGGCACCTACTCTAACACCTAAGTAGGAGAACCCTCATATCCCAATAGTTAAAAACAATGCGGAAGATTAAGAAAACTGAGATAGAACAATTTCATGTAGATTTATAAATAAGAGTTTTGGAAACTATTCTAGTTAAGACTTGTAAAGTAATTAACACCCCCAAGAATCTAGTCTAAACACGTACAAGAGCTACTAAGAATACAGAACACATCAACACGTAAATGACCCAACTCCCACCACATGGAAGAAAAGTAGAAGCTGTTGGAGATTGCCTTCGTCTTCACCTACGAAACATCACCAAACATGCATCCAGACTATGCCAAAAAGGCATAGCAAGAGTAGTATCAGTACAAAATCACACGTACTGGTAGACATCATCGGTCAACCCAAAAGCCCACCGCATAATAAATAAATCAACTGGCGAAACAAGCAGTAAGACTAATCGCTCCTCCACCTTTATACTTTGCCTACCCCTTACCATTCCAGATATTAATATCATGCTAGTCCACTTACTTCTAACCCCTTACTTACTTCGTTCGTGATTGCACCTAATCAATTAATCCCTTAAGGACGTTCCGGATAGACTACTACCAACCCGGACAATCACTCACAATACACCATTACGTCTTCCACATCTCTACTCAACTCATGGCTTCACATTAGGCATATCGAGGCTTACTATCTGTTTATATTACCAGTCCCTAATCTCAACAATATTACCCATGACCTCATTCAAATAATAAAAATAGCACCGGGACCATTGGCTCCCCCTTACCATACTACAACTGAATTGAGACTCTACCATCCACAGTTAATTACACAACTAGGTATCTCCAGTTATCTTATAACATTGCAACCCCCACCTATAAGAACATAATGTACAATCCACCAATCATTCAAGAAACATGCCCAATTCCACATTATCAATAATACAAGCAATTACACATATAATACAAGTCAATGTCCCTTTCATGGAACCCACACCCAAACTGTAAGCGTACCGGAACGTGGTACCCGATCTAATGCAAGTTAGTGTTTCGAAACGTAGCACCCGATCCAATGTTTATGCCAGTATGTGAAAACCGATCCCATGCAAGTTCGCGTGTCGGTACATGACACCCGATCCCATGCAAGTTAGCGTGTCAGTACATGACACCCGATCCAATCATCACAATCATAATCATATGCACATCCATAACATACAATACCCACTTCATATAGTCAAGTACTCAAGTTCATGGCATGCATTGTTCATAATCAATTCATTAGATTTGTATTACCGTTATACTTTGCTTATACGCATACATATCATACAGTCACCAATCAACAACATCCCACAAAATAGGAAATCACAACCATCGCCTCAACCCTATTCCACAAACTAGGGCTTTCTCCTATGGCATACAACTATGTCACCCTTAGGAATATGCGCATAATCTATCCTTTCTCGGTGCGCAAAAAACATACGCATGCATTCTACCGTCAATTTCAACATACTACGCAGTGAATGACAGATTTGAAACTACTCAATTAAATAAACCTAGCCTACCTGGGCGCCAAGCTGCTGCACGAAATTATACCTCCAATTCGGGTTTTCGGGCGACAAGACGGTGAAATTGGCCAAGAATCTGCAAGTCATCGATCTCCTTATGCTAGAACTATCTTCCTCCTTCTTTCCCAACCCTAGAGCAGCTTTTGGAGGGTTTCTGGGGTGGTTTACGTCTAATTTAGATGATTTTGGAAGAAGGAAAAAATAAAATTTCGCGTTATTTACATTCTGCCTCGCCCAACCCGCTCTGGCGGCTACTTACCCCGCCATGGCGTTGCCGCCCTAGCGGCATCTGACCCGCCCTGGCGGGACAGTGGCCTAGTATTTTCCCGAAGTTTTGTTTTTCCTAAATAACGACGGTTCGGATCGTTACATTATAATTAGTTAGTATACGTATTTATTGATATTCAAACTTTTATATATATATATATATATATATATATATAAGTTTGAATATCAATAAATATGTATACTAACTAATTATAATGTTACCAATTAAAAAATGACATGTGTCCGATTTGTGCACTCATTACTTGCCTTCCAGAGAGTGTGCACACTCTCTATGCCACATCAACATTTATGGTGTATTTTTTTCTATCTAAAATTAGTTTAGGGGGATAATAGGACACTAGTTAAGTTTAGGTGTGTCTCTAGGATTTCGATCATAGTCTAGGGGTATTTGTCCCTTATCCCCTTTTTATCACTTTTTTGTGTTGTTTTTGCAGATTAGGGGAAGTCTGCGTACCCAAAAATTTGAAGCAAAGGAACACCTTTGAGAGAACATGATACTAGTTATTTTTTAATATAAACTATTGAAAATTTCAAACATCCATCTTGAACAAATCGAGCAAAAATCGAAGGGGATGGCGCCGCCGAACACAGGATTAGCCGTGGGATTGAACAAAGGACACATTGTAACCAAGAAGGAGCTAGCTCCACGCCCTTATGACAGAAAAGGGAAAACAAGTAAAAGAATCCACTTCGTCAGGAACCTCATCAGAGAAGTTGCTGGATTTGCTCCATATGAGAAGAGGATTACCGAACTTCTTAAAGTTGGCAAGGATAAGCGTGCATTGAAGGTAGCCAAGAGGAAGTTGGGTACCCACAAGAGGGCAAAGAAGAAGAGAGAGGAGATGTCTGGCGTTCTCCGTAAGATGAGGGCCACCGGAGGTGGTGAAAAGAAGAAGTGAAGTCTTTATCCTTATTTTGACAATTGAGGAACTGAGTTTATTAGTTATTATACATGATCTTTTTGAATTAGCTATAAAATTCTCTAGACTTGACACAATTATGGCTTGGAATTTTCATTAAGATTGTGACATTTTGCTCAACTTTCAAGTTCAAGTCTACAAAAAGAAAAAAAAAAGACGCAATTTAATTATTTTTAACAATGAAAAAAGCCTAAAAGATTCCCTTAATATGAAATAAAGGGAGTAGTATTTATTTTAAATTAAAAATGATTTTTTGAAAATTAGAGTTGAATTTAGTTATGAATACAAATTACATTTTTTTTTTACCTTTTCAAATTAATTTTGAGTGAAAAAATGAAAAGACCTTTTTTTGGTTGTTTTTTGAATTTTTAAAAACTCTAGAATTCAACTTATTTCAAAATTTATAATCAAACATGTTTTCTAGAGTTGAAATTCAAAAAAGGTAATTTTTTTAATGATCAAACGTTACTATAAGTAGGGGTGTTTTCATGGTTTAGTTTGGATCACTTATTGGTTAAAATCAAAACCAAACCAATTTAGTTGATTTTTAAATTTCTAAATCAAATCAAATCAAATGAAAATAATAATCGTCGGTTTGGTTCGAATTTTTTAATTTAAAAGTAATCAACTAAATTTGTTGAGAATATACACATCTCGATGACACATACACCTAATACATGAACAATCCACAAGAAAGTTATTATTACATGAATAAAGTGATTCAATTAAGAGAAAGTGTGATTATCTAATGTGACGTGGGTTAGGTGAACTAAAGTAATAGATTTTGATGAACTTGGACTTACGATTTTAATAAAATTTAAGTGTTGCACTCAAGAAAATGGTAAAGTTAAGACTTAAGTTAATTAATGGACTCTGAAGTGGAGAGACCCTTAACCATCGTCGCCTCAGTTGCTCCACCAGTATTCCAGCACTCAAGTGCTCAATCCTATCTCATTTAACTTTCTCATGTTCAGAGACGCGCGCACCTGTTAAATTGAAATCTCATCCAACAAAACCAGTGTAACTTTCTCATGTTTATCGATAACTTGTAGTGTGAACAAGAATCATAACCATGAATTACAGGGACATTCAGAAATTGGAATACATCTGGATTATCTTGAACTTGAATGGAACCAGTAATCAACTCCCTGCAAGGAAAGTGATACATAGTGATGGACACCTGTAACAGAGTTAGATTTGGCATCCATTCAAGTACTACTGAAAAGGAAAAAGATCAAGTTCTAATCATACTTGTTTTCAACCAATAGTCATGGAAAGCAGAGATTAGGATCTTCTTCATCTGAATCAAACTCTACCTGCAACAAGTCAAAGGTGCAACCCGTATTAGTTTTACATGGACCTTATCATACATTTGTTCAACTTAAAAACATTTACTTTGATAGAGAGAATTGATTTTTTATAAAAAAAAAACAATCCATGTGATAAACCTAGTCATAGTTACAAGAAAAATTGTTGCTTTGTTGTAAGAAACAGCAAGAGAAGAGTTCCACTACTTGGTTCTGTAATTCAAATGAAAAACTCACATTTTCATCCTTAAACCACTTCCCATGGCCATCACGCTTCCAGCCAGCAGATGTGAACTTAAGTTCCCTTTCTCGTCGTTCCTGGTTGTATGCCTGAGACATGATACTTTGATTTGTTGTGATTCCTATCTGAACACATTGACTATTTCTTTGATTAGCTAGAACACTTGTAGTATCAGCCTTGGTACATTTGATCTCATTCCCTTGAGAAGAAGTACTTTGTGCCAAATTTTGATGAAGTACGTCAGAAGCAGCTTTCCTTGTGCGTTCAATCAGTGGTTTGCTTGCTGATCTACATAACTGGCTGGATGTCAAGGTTTTGGAGGTGGCAGTTTCACATTCTGACAAGGCTATTCTCTTGTTTATCTCATCTTGCCTCCCTAATTCTCTTTCTCTAAGCCTTGACTCTGCTGCTCGATGGCTTGAACCTTTGACATGTACCTACAGAAGCTTTTTGATTATCAGGGGAATTGTCACAGAAGAGAAGAACAAACATCCCGAAGTTGAGTATTATAACATGAGAATTTTATTTATTTTTTATCAAATAATAAAATGAGAAATGACTAAAGTACATCTATCAATGAACATAACTACATCTTGATCCAGATTTTGGAAAATCGTAAGAATGGATGATGTGTGTCTGTATAGGATGTCTATCAATTAAACAGAGAACTTCACTAGTCGAAGACACTGATCCAAGGAAGTAGATGTCCTTCATCAACTGGAAAACAGTAAAAGAATCTGAACAGAACCTAGTCAATTTTTTTATCTTTTTTTTACAAGCAGGAAGCACCTTAGAAGAGTGTGTGGCATGATTAAGATAGTCATACTCTACCTATGTTCCATGGCTCACTTGGACCTAATAAAAATTCTTTGTCCAAAGAAGTAAAGCTGCTTCTGATAATTGGGAATTATCACGGAAGAAGATGGTAGGAGAACAAGCATCACCAGAAGTGAAGTACTATAATATGAGAATTATCCTAATACATCATCTATCAATGAACATATAGACATATATGTTGTGTTCATGCATTGAAAATTGTAATATGCATGCACATTATGTCTATAGTTTGTACGCCAATTAATCATAAAACTTCACTAACTAAAAGTATCTGGTCCAAAGAAGTAGGGGTTCTTCCCTATTAATCCACTCAAACATGTTCTTCTGCCATTGACAGTAAGAAGAAAGAGATTTCTGTGATGCTGGCAATCAAGTGCTTTCGGATGAATGAATGAACCTTTTTTTTCGTTGGGAAAACACGGACCAACACAAATATTTATAGTCAAAATAATAATACCAATAATTTTTACGTGGAAACCCTACTAAATAATGGAAAAACCATGGACCAAGAGGAGCAACTAATATCACTATAGAATTTCACACAAGGTAGTCACGAGTACAATACTCAAAGTGACTACTACACACTGTCACACTCAAAAGAAAAAACTTCTTTTGATTTCCCACCTTACTAAAATGACGCTTATGCTCTATTTTTCCTTCACATGCTATTTTCTTGTAGTCTCTGGTATACCTCACTTTGCTCTCTATTTTGGTGTACTTATGAGAGAGCAACAACTTTCTATTTATACAAAAGATTGCCAACCATATAGATGGCTTGGTTACTTGAAATTTGCCACTGCCACTCAACACAGCTTTTCAACATTTGTTGTCAATTAAATTTCTCCGAATCTTGCCAACCTTTGACATTAAGGAAAAGAAAAATAAAAAGCCAAGTAATTTGGCACATGGGGATGGACCCCACAATCTCCCTCTCTAGTCTCGTGCATATCTCCATCTTCTTAGAGAGAGGTCATGCTAACAAGTTCTTTTGATAACTCGAACTTGTCTTTTGGTATCATCTTGGTCAGCATATCCATAGAATTTTCACTTGTGTGGATCTTGTTGACATGAAATGATTCACTCTCCACTTGCTCACAAATCCAATGGTATCTCACGTCGATTTTTTTTGTCCTGGCATGATACGTGAAATTCTTGCTTAAGTCTATTGCACTCTGACTGTCACAATATACTTCATATGTTGCAACCGGAGTTCTGGAAGGAATCACTTGAGCCATATCATCTCTTTGCCAAATTTTAGTAGACACAATATACTTGCTTCAGTTGTATACAGTACAACACACTTATACAACTTTCACTGCCATGATATAGCTCCCTCGAAAAAAGTAAACATATATCTAATAGTTGATTTTCTTTTACCAATATTGGATTTGATGCTCCCAAAACAGAAGCATTCATTTGAATTTGAGCAAGAAGATGTGTCCTATAGCTAGGGAGGAAAAAAAGAGCATGGCCAAAGTTCCATATTCATCCATTGTTGGAAGTTTAATAGTATGCACTAGACTTGATATTGCTCACACAGGTGGTGTTATCAGTAGGTTTCTCGACAATCCCAATAAAGAGCATTGGGAAATTGTGAAGTGGATATTCAGGTATCTAAGAGAAAGCTCAAATGAATGCTTGTGTTTTGGAGCATCAAATCCAATCTAGAGGGGCTATACAAATGTTGATATGGCAGGTGACCTTGATAACAGAAAATTCACTACTAGATATTTGTTTATTTTTTCAAGGAGAGCTATATCATGACAATCAAAGTTGTAGAAGTGTGTTGCACTGTTTACAACTAAAGCAAAGTATATTGCGATTACTGAAGCTAGCAGAGAGATGATATGACTCAAGTAATTCCTTCAAGAACTTGGATTCCAACAGATGAAGTATGTTGTCTATTGTGACAGTCAGAGTGCAATAGTCTTAAGCAAAAATTTCATGTACCATACAACGAAAAAACACAGCGACGTGAGATACCATTGGACTCGTGAGCAAATGGAGAGTGAATCATTTCACATAAAAAAGATCCATACTAGTGAAAATCCATATGCTGACCAAGGTGATAACTGATACCAAAAGACAAGTTTGAGTTACGCAAAAAACTTTTTGACATGGGCTCTCCCTAAGAAGATGGAGATAGCTCTTTCTAGTGCATGAGATTGGAGGGGGAGATTGTGGGGTTCATCCCCATGTGCCAATTTACTTGGCTTATTTCTCTTTTCCTTAATGTCAAACGTTGGCAAGATCCGGGGGAAATTTAGTTTGCAGCAGATGTTGAAAAGGTGTGGCAAGTTGTTGAGTGCACAGTGCATATGTTGAAATTTGCAACCAAGCCTTTTGATTGGCTGAAATGGTTGACAATTTTTTCTATAAATAGAGACCCTATGCTCTCTCATAAGCACACCAAAATAGAGAGAAAAATATTAGAGAGCAAAGTGGAGTATACCATAGACTATACAAGAAAATAGTCCGCGAAGAATGCAAAGAAAAATAGAGTGTGAACAATATTTTAGTAAGGTGAGAAATCAAAAGAGGGTTATTTCTTTTGAGTGTGTAGTAGTTACTTTGAATATTTCAGTGTAAAATTTCTTACTATAGTAATATTAGTTGCTCCTCTTGGTCCATGGTTTTTCCCTTATTTAAAAGGGTTTTTCTTTCTTGGTGTCATTATTTTCCCATTATTTTGACTATGAATACTTTTGTGTTGGTCCGCGTTTTACCAATACTTTTTCCATCAAAACACATCCTTAAGCCATTCAAGTACGGTAAAAAAGAAGGAAACAATTTGGAAATCATCCTTCTTTAGTAAAGCTAAAAAGAACCATTGACAAGGCAATTGTTCATATCTCCAACTAACTATGATTTCCAGAAATCTGATGTAAAAACATCCTCTACTAAATTTACATGTCCATAAATTAACATTATAGGTGAACTGATGTAACTCCTACTAAACAAGCTCTACATAATCTAAATTCAACTTTCTATTAACTACACTGGCTAATCTGAAAGCTTCTCCTTCCAAGAAAATTGTAATGGAGGGACGTTGAAAAACAATGAGATGCAGTACATACACTCGTCTTCTCAACGAAAACTGCCAGCATTTGCATGAGGTAACTAAAACTTGTCTTACTCTTTAGCGGCTTAAATTTGTACTTTTAATTCGTACCACAGCTGAATGACCTGTTAAGATTATGTTGTTCATTGGGAATTTAAGAAGGGAAAACATACATTGAACAATACCATTTTGCCAAAAAGGTATGAAGTTAGAATAATCTGTTGCATATTTGATTCACTTTCCTACTATTTCATCTCATATTTGGTTTCTAAATTTTTTTAAAGTTCAAATATCATGATCATGAACTTGTACTTTAAAAAAGGTCATCCACATCAAACTAAAGTTGGCCCATCAAATTGTAAAGCACAGGAGGTTAAATTTCGATTGTTAAAAAGTTACTAAATGAACCTAATTCATTCAAATTTCATCTAAGGAGTTACCTAATACATGCAAACCAATATAGTAGTCGTGGGAATCTTAATTTCTTAGTTGGTTGGCTACATGAACTTTCACCTTGTTGTTGGTGAGGTTCAATTCCCCCACCTTGCAATCCCCTCCCCCATTTTTCATACTTCACCTACCACTCAAAACAGTGGATGGAAGATCAATTTTCGTTAATTTCAGAAGATATGATAATCAAATAACTAAAATCAAAATTAAATGATACAATCGGAGCAAAATTAGGTTTATGTTTTGATATGTACGTACAGAGAGCATGAGGGGAGTGTCGAGGACCGGACGGTGAGAGCAAACGATGCAGACAAATTTGCCGCTGGAGAGTTTCTTATAAGCAGAAGAATCGATGTTGTCAACCATCAACTCATCGACTCTTCTCTTCCTACATTGCGCTTCCCTCGCCCAGCTATCTCCTCCAAACACACTCATAGTTTCTTTATCCCTCTGTCTCCTCTATACTTCGCCGGAATCTGTTAATACAACTCTCTTAAATGGATAAAGTGAATGATGAAAATTCACCGGTGCCGGAACCGAATCGCTGGTGAGAATCGAATTTAAACTGATGAAATGTGAGACCCGAAACACTTCAGGCTTTAGCAGAAATAAAAGCCCAAAATACTCCCTAATATTCAAAGTAATCCTTTAGTTTTCCATAAGGAATTGTTTGGTTTGAATACAAGTTATGATATATAAATTATGAAGATATTAGTTATAATGAGATAAGTTATATTGAAATTATTTTTTATTGAGTGTTTGATTTGTTGTACTATAAATAATATGTCTTTCATAAATTTTAAGAATAACTTATTTGTTTACAAAAATACCCTGCATGAATGTGAAAAGTGATGTATAAAAAAGATATAAAGAGATATTTTTGTCATTTACCTATTTTATCCTGGGATAACTTATCCCGAGATTACTATACCACCCAAAAGGAGGGATAACTTATCCCAGTATTATTTATTAAACCCGAGATAAGCTATCACGGACTTGCCAACCAAAAAACAAATTAAGTGGCACTATAATTTAATCTCAAAATTATTGGGTGTTATCCTTCACACCAAACGACCCCTAATAGTTCCTCATATTTGCAAGGTACATCTTTGGTTTGCTCTTAAATTTTTGCCTATTTTTTTACTTTAATTTTATCGACAATTTATGCATGGGACGTTCAATCGCCTTTTTATATATTTAGTAGAAATAATAACTCTATGTGAGAGAAGGTGCAAAGAAGAACATCTTGTTTTGTCTACTAGAAATATTATTGCAGTTAAATTTGAGAGGTTCATTTTTTGTTTGAATTTTGGGTATTCAATATTCTATATTCTAATAAATAGATATCTGTGTTATGATACGAGACCACATTTTCAAAAAAAATGGATGAGATTAGGTCCCAACATATGTAAACAATCTTGTTTTTTGAACATGAAGAAATAATGAAGCCATTGCAATTGCCGGAAATACTAGGCCTACTAACGACGCAAAAATAGATGGAAGGTTCAAATTTTTCATAGAAGGGGGTACTAAGGAGAGGAGGTAAAAAGTAGATGTTAGTTAATCTAAGGTCCAATGGATCACCATGCATAGTGAGGAAAGTAGCATTGATGAAACTAAGGATCGCACCTTCAACGAAGAAATAAGGTGATCGACTGGAAGTTTTTGAAATCCCAACAATATTTTCTAATCTCACCAGGCAAGGCAAAGGGGGAGGAAGGGATGGGTGGTCCAAGAACAACAACGAGAGAGGGCTATCTTATTATTATGGATATGAAAAATCTCGTGTAATAGTATGATTTTTCTTTCTTGCACCGCCATATGTAAATGTGCTTTTAGTTTAACTGCAATATTATTTCTATTGAACAAAACAAAGTGATTTTCTTCTCACCTTCTATCACATGGAGTTATTATTCTACTAAATATATAAAAAGGCGATCGAACGTTTCATACATAAAATTGCGGACAAAATCAATGTTAAAAAATAGGCAAAAGTTTGGGAGAGGAACAAAAGTGCACCAATATTACAAATATATAGCTATCAATGTTCCATGTGAAAATGTAAGGATTACTTTGAATCTTAACCCAAAAATAAGGAACTATTTTGGGCTTTTCCCCATATCCTTCACTATAAAGTAAAATTTTCATGGGCGATCATTCTAGTCTATTACTAAAATGAACAACTTTCACATATAGCAAACACAAAAATCATATTTGTATGTTATAGCTATAGTTTGTTATGGCTATTTCGCTATACATATATACAAAAGAAGCTGGCTATTTAGCTATACATATATACAAAAGAAGCAATTGTATAATCTGTTTCGGTATACATATACAAAAGAATCAATTGTATAATATGTGTTTGTATAAAGTGAGAAAGAGAGAAAGACAAAAGAAAACTAGGCAGGGAAGATCGTATTTGTATAATCATAAGTGTATAGAACGAAAATATATGCATTTGTATTTGTATATACAATTTTTCTCTCGCTTTTATACAAACACAAACGTAATGTATACATTTGTGTTTGTATAAAGTGAGAGAGGCGAGTGAGAGTGGCGAGCGAGATCTAGGAGAGTTGCGAGCGAGATCTGGAAGAGAGGAGAGAGGGAAACGAAAAAATATGTATATATACAATTTTCTCTCGCTTTATACAAACACAAACACATTTTATACATTTGTGTTTGTATAAAAGCGAGAGAGGCGAGCGAAACTGCCCATCGAGAACAAGAGTGGCGAGCGAGATTCACCAGGGAGAGAGGCGAAATAACAATAGTTTTCTATGGGGTACAATTAATTAAATCAAACTATGGTTATAGCATTTAATTTGAATTAATAATTTGCTATTATATACAATTTTCCCTACTAAAATCGTCCATGGTCCAAATTATCAAATATAGTCATATTTCTCTTATTTATTCATATTATTACTAACTAGGGGTGTCAGGTGTATGTCCCGTGCCAACACGGGCAAACATCACGTCAGCTTTATTTGAAAAAACATAATCCTAATAATTAAAAAGTAAATAATATGTTTAAATTTAAATTCAGAGATTAACAAGATAGTTATGTACATTCTATTTAGATATTAACAATATGCAATGTATTAAGTTAAAAGTTAGTTAGAGTGTAGTCTCCTTGTTCTGATCTTCGTCTTCGATAAGAACATTTGACCCTGTTGCATGAGATAAACAAGGTAGGAAGTTAGCGTTAAAAAAGGAAAAAATATATCATTAAAGAAATTAGAGTTGATATAATGGTATATGTAAGGAAAAAAAATATTTAGATCCATTACAGAGATGAAGAAGGTTGAAGATAGAGAACACATCCAACAAATTCAACACGTGTGCTCTTTTTATCATTAAATTAAACAAATAAGGGTATTTTTATCACTTACACTCTGTTTGGAACATTGTTACCCATTGTTTCATAATGTATTGTATTGTATTGTACTCTATTGTACTGTATTGTATGGTAGATACAATGTTTGGCTAGACTGTATTGTTTGTTGTTGTTTAATAACATTTTAATTGTTTGATTTGATTGTATCGTACTGTATTGTAATTTATAAATTTACTAAAATATCCTTAATTATTCTAGGGTAGGAGGTTTGACTAGAATTAAATAATATAAGGTAAAGGGCAAAATAATATTTTGAAATATTATGTAAAAATATAATTGGAAAAAGAAATTAAGTAACAATGGGAACACACCAAATCAGTTGTTCCATAAAAATAGGGATTTTCATTGTTACGTAACAACGAAATTTAACAATACAATACAATACATTTTAAGTAACAATCAAAACAAACATTGTAGGTATAATAACGATACAATACAATACAATGGGTAACAATGATCCAAACAAAGTGTTACGCTCATCAAGCTAATGAGTTTTGTTTTTCATTCTTCTAGGCTGTATACATGTATTTCAATTTGGAGTTGAACAATAGATTTTGAAGCAGAGAGAAAAAAAGAACAAAAACAGGTAATTATTTTGCAGGTCACATCTTAGAGGCTAAAAGTATTAAGTTCAATATATAGTTATAGCAAACTACTCTAATGAATAGAAGAGCTAACCTAATATCACAATAGTTAAAAGCAGTTGTAAATTGTAATCAATAGAAGGGCTAACATAATATCATAGTAGTTAAATGCAATTGTAAAATGTAATGAATAAAAGAGCTAACATAATATCATGGTAGTTAAATGTAATTATAAAACGTAATGAATAAAAGAGCCAACATAATATCACAAAATCTAAAAACAGTTGTATTAATGATGTAGCCGTCCTTTCAAAAACATTAGCACAATCTAACAATTCATTCCTCGCAAAATCTTTTGGACACACAAAACTCTGTTGGGAAACAATTAAAATTTTACAATAATAATAATATAACTTATTATTTAGCAAAATAGTAGTCCTGAAAATTAGATAAATATTACTACGACAATATATAAATAATAGTGCAGAAAAGTAATACTTGAGTCCTGGACATTATCCTAAAAAACTATTTCAGCAATGTGAAATGTTTCCCCAGAATTAAACAAGTTTTCCCTATTTAAATAGAGAATAAAGGAATCAGCAAATTAATTAACATCAACAAGTTCTTAGTGAGGTAATTAATAAAATAACTAAACCAAAATAGCTAATTTACTTTAAAAGGAAAAAGCTAAAGAGAGGGGCATACCGTGAAATCAAGAAAAAATAATGTTAGCGTAGTTTTTTAATACCCAATTCATAAAGAGGAAAAACCCTTTTTATAGGCCAAAGGAAAGGTTATCCATAACACAAGTGACAAGGACACTGACTTCATGCATGAAGCCATTTTTTACAAGTGTTTATTTTTGCAAAGTACCAAATTAAAACATAAGAGATATGACATGTTACAATAAAGTTTACCGTTTCTTCAAGTTATTTCTCCAATACACCTTAATTATTTTGACTTTGTAAATACACTTTAAAATAAATTCATTTGAAATAAATATTTACTTAAAATCCACCACATATTTCAAAAGAATTTATACGAAGAAAATATAACTTGCTAGATTATATGGACAAAAAGCAATAGATTTGATGTCTTTTGTACTATGAACCAAACTTAGATCAATAAAATTTAATTTACAGAATGACCGGTGAAATATAATATTTCTATGAACCAATAATTCTTATTGTAAATCAAAGACTTTATCAATCAGACCTAGTAAAATTCATTAGATGAATAAACTTCTAATAATTTGAGCATATTTAGACTGAGCAACTGGGTCACTATTATTCTTTTTCAATTTAGAGTTAGCATCATAAGGAGCGGCTACATGTGTCACCTCAAAACATTCAAATTTTTTGAGAAGTTTTTCCACATAATGTTCTTGTGACAACATTATACCATCTTCACTTCTTCTAACTTTAACTCTCAATATCATATTTACTTCACCCAGATCTTTCATGTCAAAATTAGTAGACAAAAATAATTTGGTAATTTTCACAATATTTAAATTTGTACCAAATATAAGCATGTCATCAACATATAAGCATATTATCACATAATCATTGTCTACCATTTTAGTATAAAGACATTTATCCACTTCAATAAAAGAAAAAATGTCTTTC